GCGGTTCAGGGTGGAAGGGACCTCTGTAGATCATCTAGTTCAACTCCACTGCTCAAGCAGGGACACCTAAAGCACCTAAAGCCCCAGACTGTGTCCAGACAGATTCTGAGTATCACCAAGGAAGGAGACTCCACAACCTCTCTGAGGCAACCTGTTCCAGTGCTCCATCACCCTCAGGGTGACAAGTTCTCCCTCATGTTCAGAAGAAACTTTCTCTGCTCACTTTGTGCCTATTGCCTCTTCTCCTGTGACTGGGCACCACTGAAAAAAGTCTGGCCCCATCCTCCATGCCACCTCCCTTCAGATACTTATACACATTGATTCCCTCTCAGTCTTTTTTCTTCAGACTGAATAGCTCCAGCTCTGCCTCATGTGAGAGACGATCGAGTCCCGTAGTCATCTTAGCAGCCCTCCGCTGGTCCCCCTCCAGTAGCTCTGTGTCCCTCCTGTACTGGGGAGCCCAGCACTGGACCCGGGACTCCTGATAAGACCTTGCCAGGGCAGAGCAGAGGGGCAGGATCCCCTCCCTTGACTTGCTGGCAACACTCCTCCTAACACACCACAAGATCCTACTGGCCTTCCTGGCCACCAGGACACATTGCTGCCTCATGGTCAACCTGTCCATGAGGACTTCCAGAGCCTTCTTCACAGAGCTGCTCTCCAGCAGGTCATCCCCCGGACCGTAGTGGTGCACGGGGTCGCTGCTCTGCACTTCCCTTTGTTGCACTCCATGAGTTTCCTCCCCGTCCATCCCTCCAGCCTGTCGAGGTCCCTCTGAAGGGCAGCACAGCCCCCTTGTGTATCAGTCACTCCTCCCAGTTCGGTGTCATTTGCAAACTTGCTGAGGTTGTGCTCTGTCCTTTCATCCAGCTCACTGAGGAATAAATTGCACAAGACTGAACCCAGTTGACCCCTGGGGGACATCACTAGCTACAGGCTCCAACCAGACTTTGCACTACTGAGCACAATCCTCTGCGCTCTGCCATGCAGCCAGATCTCACTCCTCCTCACTGCCCACTCATCTAACCCCCACTTCCTGACGCTATGGGAGACATTGCTGAAAGCCTTCTGGATGTCACATTTGCCTACATGATCTCTGAAATCAAGGTCTCCAGCCTGATTCTCCTCCATCAAGGGAAAACCCCCCTTTCTCTAGACTTTTCTAGCGTGTAGGAGCCCTAGGGGTTAGTTTGAGCAGTTAAGACTGAAGCAAAGGCAGGATCGGTATCTCTGCCTTCTCTGTACCCTTCGTCACCAGTGCCCCTGCCCCACGTAGTAGCTGGCCCACATTTTCCCTACTCTCCCTTTTGTTACTGATATATTTCAAGAGCCATCCTTGGTGTCCTCAACATCCCTTGCCAGATTAAACTCCAAATGGGCTACAGCTTTCCTAGTCCCATCCCTGCATACTCAGACAACATTCCTGTATTTCTCCAACATGTCCTGTCCCTGCTTCCCCCCTTCGTGATCCTTGTTCACCCATGCAGGTCTCCTGCCTGCTTCGCTCGCCTTCTTACCGACAGGGCTGCCCTGCTCTTGAGCTTGGGGAAGTGATCCCTGCCCAGTAATCAGCTCTATGGACCCTCTTCGCACCAGAGACCTGTGCTCTCCCATGGCTCTTGCCTCACGGATATGCAACACCAGCTTTCGGAGTTGCACGGTATGGTTTCTTGCTATGGAGCTCCACTAAGACTCTGGATCCTGCAAAGATCCAAGTATTTTACATAAAATTTTTATTGTGAATAATCTCAATTTGGGCCAACATGTCCAGAGAAGGCAGAGAATGAACTACTCGGCAGTTAGGCAGACTAAGGGCAGCGGCTAATGCTCTTACAGAGCACTTTGCTACCTCCTTTCTGCTCAGGAGGAAAAGGGGGGAAAAGCCTTGGAAGGGAGTGCAATGCAAAAGTGCTTCAGGAAAGAAATGACAAGCTCAAAGCACTGCACATCTGTCACCTGTCTTATACACTGTAATATGCCAAGTAAGCAGGTAGGTGCAGTGAAAAATGGCAAATTTTCAGACTATTTTCTCTTCATAGTTGAGCTGCTTTTACAGCTGCAAGGTCACACCTGGCTTACACAATATTCTAACTCCTGCCTTGCTTTGTACAGTATTTGTCCACTTAATTTCTGCTCCTGTAAACTAAATGTAAACACAGACTGCATAGTAGGGAAACTTTTGAAGCTCTGTTAGGTTATATGGAGCTACAGAACTGCAGGGGTGTATCAGGGGAAAAACATTGCACTCATCACTGGCATTGAGACCTAACAGAAAGACAGACCTCTTTATTTAACTCTGGTTCTGTTTTAAATAGAAGTGCTTTTGGTATTTTGTGAGAAGCGACTGGAACACAAACAGTCATATGAGACAATCTTTGGAGAATGGGATTTTTATTAGTCAGAACATAACAACATGCCAGTTATTCTGCTCAGCTGTGAAACAGTTTCCACCCCTCTCTTTTTCAAAGAGTTTTCTGGACAGTGAGAGCTGCAGTTCAGGGATTTCTCTTCCAGTCTCCCAAGCACACATGCCTGGAAGCAGCGAGTGTTCTGCCATTTAGGCACAGGACCAAAATCTGATCCTGACCAGTCTCCATCGTCGAGACTTTGGCCAAGTAAACAGACACCAAAAATGAACCAGAAGTCAAAAGCAGAGGAACTGTGGGTCACCCACAGGGTACTCGCACAAGGTTCAGACAGCTGAGCTGCCCCAGGTGTGCAGCAGCTTCACAAAAGCCCTGCTAACTCAGGAGCGCAGGAAGCTGCAGAGATGGTACCATGTCCCAGCCTAAGCGCTGCGGGGAAGGAAATTGCACCTGCAAGTGCAGCTAAACGCAGGTAACTGCCATTTTCAGCAAGCATCAAACCTACAGCTTTAAAATTATTAATAACTTCATAAATTATTCCTTTCCAGCAAAGTTTCAGAATTACTTTCCTCACTAAGATCACAGAATCACAGAATGGTTGAGGTTGGAAGGGGCCTCTAAACCCCCTGTTCCAGCAGGGACACCCAGAGCACATGGCACAGGGTGGCATCCAGGTGGGTTTGGAAGATCTCCAGAAAAGGAGACTCCACAGTCTCTCTGGGCAGCCTGTTCCAGGGCTCTGTCACCCTCACAGGAAAGAAGTTCTTCCTCACATGGAGGTG